GGCTTCCTTTCTTCCTTCAGGTTTACAATCCAAAATTAAGGCATGACACACAAGGAAGGAGGAAGTAGGAGAGAGGAGGAAAAACAGTAAAGTGCCAGCGCTTATACTGAGAAATTTAGTAGAAATAATTCAGGAAACCAATAATCAAACGTAGGTAAAATCTCTTGTTTGGTTTTAAGGCTCATCCATAACCTTGGACATTGAAGGATAAATCATTTCAGGAGGTGTGAAAACAAAACCAGCTTAGGCTAAGCAGATTCCTTGCAATGGGATCTTTGCTTTTAAATACATACCAGAGAGAAATATGATGCTCTGGTGCTACCTTGGTAGGAGATAACTAGAATCTTTCCAAACCAAAATACCTGCTTTGAGGCTTTCCTGACAGGAGAAGCAAGCCTAATGATTTGAATTTCTTTTAGAATTTAACACTCATTATGTCTCAAAGAGAAGTTGAAGAGCTATCTGCTTCCCAGAAGCTCAGAGCAAGGTTAGGCTCTAGAAAAGAGACTTGTTCTTATCGTGTGTTTTCAATACATTGCCAACAGAGTTTTCTTGGCCTGGTGGTGCAGCAGGTCAAACCGCTGAGTTGCTGAACTTGCTGACTGAAAGGTCAGCATTTTGAATCCGGGGAGCGGAGTGAGCTTCCACTGTTAGCCCCAGCTTCTGCCAACCTAGCAGTTTGAAAACATGCAAATGTGAGTAGATCAATAGGTACCGCTTCTGCAGGAAGGTAACGGCACTCCGTGCAGTCATGCTGGCCACATGACCTTGGAGGTGTCTATGGACAATGCTTGCTCTTCGGCTTAGAAATGGAAATGAGCACCATCCCCCAGTTAGACATGACTAGACTTAATGTCACGGGGAAACCTCTACCTTTATTGGCAAAATTTATTTGTGGAAGAAGCCTCTGCCTTCCTCTGAGCCTGAGAAAGTGTGGCTTGCTCAAAGCTGAGCTGCAATTTGAATCCAAGTCTCCTGACACCTAAGATGCATCTAGGCTGTCAAATTAATGCATTCCGACACTACTTTAACTGGCACGGCTCAATGCTATGGAATCCTAGGAGTGATAGTTTTACAAAGTCAAGGGCCTTCTATGCCAAAATGCACCAAACTACAACTCCCAGGATTCCATAGCACTGAGCCATGGCAGCTAAAGTGATGCCAAACTACATTATTTCTACAGTGCAGATGATGTATTTAGTGTATTTACTAAAGATACACTAAGGTTCCAACCACTTTGATCTTTTAGAGGAAAATGTATCAACAAACCTGGGTTGGGACAGGGAATGAATGAGAGCGAGAAAAGCGAGAGGAAAAGACTCTTTCTCCGGGACAGAGCTTGCAACTCCATTCTGCTTTTAATACATTTTAGGTCTACATCGTTTTGGAGTCCCTGGAGATGCAGTGGGTTAAAACACTGAGTTGCTGAACTTGCTGGCTGATAGGTCGGCAGTACAAATCTGGGGATCGGGGTGAGCTCCCACTGTTAGCCCAGCTTCTGCCAACCTAGCAATTCGAAAACATGAAAATGTGAGTAGATCAATAGGTACCGCTCCGGTGGGAAGGTAACGGCATTCCATGCAGTCATGCTGGCCACATGATCTTGGAGGTGTCTAAGGACAATGCCTGCTCTTCGACATAGAAATGGAGATGAGCACCACCTTATGGAGTTGGACACGACTGGACTTAATGTCAAGAGGAAACCTTTACTTCCCTCTATCTTCTAATAGTCTCTGTCTTTTAATAGTGTCTAATAAATAATAATGATAATAATTTTTAATGGTCTTATGTTTTCATCTACGCATCATGCCCTACTTCAAGCCTTTGAGTGGCAGGTAAAAAAATAATTCATTGTTATTGTTGTTACTACTATCTTCCTGGAGGAACTTTTGCACTTTCTTTCCAGGAAAGGTTAGTCAAAGGCACACACGTGCATTCACTCCAGACCAAATGCCTGATTTAATACTTTAAAGAGAAACAATAGGCGGGAAAGAAATCTTGATGGGGTTTCAGGGCTTGACCCTTGTGTGATTTCGCCACTGATAGATTCCTTTCCCCACATCACCATCACCTTAATCTCTTCTTTCCAGAAAATAAAGGGAAATTCCCTCCACAATGAAGAGCAAGGTGGACTATAAATTGAATACATGAAAGAAGTAAATGTGGTGCTCACATTTATCCTTTAGACCAGGCATGGGCAAACTTGGGACCTCTGGGTGTTTTGGACCCCCGCTTAAGCGGCTGAGGGGGGAAAGGAAGGGACCTGAGGCTATTAGGAATTGTGGGAGTTGGAGTCCAAAACACCCAAAGGTCCCAAGTTTGCCAATGCTTGCTTTAGACCTTCAAATGCGCCAAATTGCAACTCCCATCATCCCCCTAACAGATGAAAGATATTATTGAATACATAATACATAAACATTCGGTAAATATGCTTGGGAGATACGTTGCCCCATGCGCACCCCCTTCCTCCTGTAGACCTAGATTGCAACCCCCATCATCCCCTTAACAGCTGTAACACCTGCAACAGTAAACATCAGTAATACACTGGGGAAGCCATCACCTCACTCACACTTATCTCACTTCCTCCTCAAGGACCTCCCGATACTTTGTACTGCAAATACCATCATCCCCAGAATTGCTGGAGGATACAACTGAATGTTGATACTGCAGGAGAAGGGATTTCATTCCCTTTGACTTATTTCCCCCTTCCAGCAATGTCCAGATGTGTCAGACTGCAACTCCCATCATCTCCCCAACAGCTAGAGGGCACCACTGAGTAGTTAAATACAGTAAATGTGTAAATATCCAGAAGGGAGAACGGCATAGCACTGTGAACAACTGCACCCCCCTTTCCTGGCAACCTCCAGTTGGACTGCAACTCCCATCATCCGCCAACACCTGGAGGACACAACTGAGTATGTAAATACAGTAAATATTCAATAAATATGGTGGAAGGAGGGACAACATTCCCTCCCACTAATTCCTTCCTTCCCAGTGACCTCCAGATGTGTCGGACTGCAACTCCCATCATCCCCTTAACAGCTGGAGGACACAACTGAATATTTAAATACAGTAAATATTCAATAAATATTGTGGAAGGAGTGACAACATTCCCTCCTGGCAATTCCTTCCTTCCTGGGCACCTCCAGATGCGCAGGACTGCAACTCCCATCATCCCCTTAACAGCTGTGAGTACTAAATACTGGAAATGTAGTAAATATGCAAAAATTCATGGAGAACAGGGTTATGGCTCTGCGCAGTATTGCACCCCCCTTTTCCTGGCAACTTCCAATTGGACTGCAACTCCTATCATCCCCTTAATAGTGGGAGAACACAACTGAATGTGTAAATACAGTAAATATTCAATAAATATGGAGGAAGAAGGGACATCATCCCTTCCTGCTAATTCCTTCCTTCCCGGGGACCTCCAGATATGCCGGACTGCAACTCCCATCATCCCCTTAACAGCTGGAGGACACAACTGAGTATGTAAATACAGTAAACATTCAATAAATATGGCAGAAGGAGGGACATCATTCCCTCCTGCTAATTCCTTCCTTTCCAGGGACCTCCAGATGTGACAGACTGCAACTCCCATCATCCCCTTAACTGCTGTCAGTACTGGAAATGTGGTAAATATGTAAAAATTCAAGGGAGGAAGACAGTTATGGCTCCCTGCACCATTGCATTCCTCCTTTCCTGGCGAACACCAGTTGGACTGCAACTTCCATCATCCCCCAACACCTGGAGAACACAACTGAATATGTAAATACAGTAAATATTCAATAAATATGGCGGAAGGAGGGACATCATTACCTCCTGCTAATTCCTTCTTTTCCAGGGTACTCCAGAATGCACCGGACTGCAACTCCCATCATCCCCTTAAAAGCTGTGTGTACTAAATACTGGAAAAGTGGTAAATATGTAAAAATTCAAAGAGGAAAAGGGTTATGGCCCCACACAGCATTGCATTCTCCCTTATCCTGGCGACCTCCAATTGGACTGCAACTCCCATCATCCCCTTAACAGCTGTGAGTACTTGCAATGTGGTAAATATGTAAAAATTCAAGGGGGGAAGACAGTTATGGCTCCATGCACCATTGCATCTCCCCTTTCCTGGCGACCACCAGTTGGACTGCAACTCCCATCATCCCCCAACACCTGGAGAACACAACTGAATATGTAAATACAGTAAATATTCAATAATTGTGGAGGGAATTCCCTTTGACTAATTCTTTCCTTCCAAGGTACCTCCAGATGTGCCGGACTGCAACTCCCATCATCCCCTTAGCAGCTGTGAGTACTAAATACCGGAAATGTGGTAAATATGTGAAAATTCAAAGGGGAAGAGGGTTATGGCTCCAGGCACCATTGCACCCCTATTTCCTGGCAATTCCACCGCAACTCCCATCATCCCCCTGAAGACTGGATGAACACCAAAGCATACTAAATATGTACATATGAGGGAAATGGGAATATCATTACCTTGCTCCGTGGGTACTTATCCCCTCCCCTCCAGCCCTATTGCAGCCTCTATTTCCCGTTGGATTGCAACTCCCATCATCCCCCTGAAGACTGGAGGAACACCAGTGGATACGAAATATGTACATGTTTGGTAAATACGGGGGGAAAGAGAGCATCATTCCCTTGCTCCGTGCGCGCTTATCCCCTCCCCTCCCCTCGGCGCCAGATTGTAAGTCCCATCATTCCCCTTAACAGCTGGAGGAACCCACGGAAGGCAAGGCGGCTCTGAGCTGCCTGCAGGCTGTCTTCCTTCCTTCCTTGCCTGCCTGCCCTTCTTTCCTTCCCTGAGACAAAGCTGCCATTCATCGCCTCCGACGGGGGTCCCCCGGCCACAAAAGAGGGAGAGAGACAGAAGGAGAAGAGGGAGAGAGAGAGAGAGAGCCAAGGAGGGAGGCCAAAGTGGGGAAGAGGAGAAGCACGCGAGATTCCGAGCAGACTCCCAAGAAAACACCAAAGTTGGGAGGAGAAGCGCTCACCCCATGGAAGAGCCGCCCGTCCTGCTCCGGGATGGACTCGCGAGTGGGGAAGGAAGCCCATTCACGGCAGGCGGCGAGTGGCGAGGAGGAGGAGGAGGAGGAGGAGTGGCCACGGAGGAAGAAGGGGAGGAGGAGGAGGAGGAGGCGACTGGGCGAGCGAGCGGCATCCCCGCCCACGCGGCCAAAGGCGCCGCTCCCGCCGCTCCGCCTGCAGGGCTCGGCTCTGGGGCGAGCAGCCCCACATTCTGGGAAAGGGGTCACGTGGGCACAGAGGGGGTGGGATTACTCACTCCACTACCTCTCCCCCCCCCCTCCGCCGCCCCACGCGGCTTTCCTTTGCGCCAGTAGTTGCTTGCGCCGCCGCCGGGCCACGCGTGGTTGTTCTCTAGCGCCCCCAGTGGCAGCGGGTGGTGTTGCAGTTTCGTTTCAAGGCTCGCTAGAGAGACCAAAGAGGCACTCTATAGGACAATTACGCTATGGCAGTGGTCCCCAAGCTTTTTCCCCCTCATGTATTGTCGAAGGCTTTCATGGCTGGAATCACTCAGTTCTTGTGGGTTTTTTCGGGCTATATGGCCATGTTCTAGAGGCATTTCTCCTGACGTTTCGCCTGCATCTATGGCAAGCATCCTCAGAGATGAGGTCTGCTGGAACTGGGAAAAAAGGGGTTTATATATCTGTGGAATGACCAGGGTGAGACAAAGGGCTTTTGTAAGTTGGGCTAGGTGTGAATCTTTCAACTGACCACCTTGATTAGCATACAATGGGCTGACTGCCTGGAGCAAACTCTTCTTGAAAGGTGATTAGATGTCCCTGCCTGTTTTTCTCTCTGCTGTTTTTTGCTGTTGCAATTTTAGAATTTTTTAATACTGGTAGCCAGATTTTGTTAATTTTCATGGTTTCTTCCTTTCTGTTGAAATTGTCCACATGTTTGTGGATTTCAATGGCTTCTCTGTGTAGTCTGACATGGTGGTTGTGAGAGTGGTCCAGCATTTTTGTGTTCTCAAATAAAATGCTGTGTCCAGGTTGGTTCATCAGGTGCTCTGCTATGGCTGATTTCTCTGGTTGGAGTAGTCTGCAGTGCCTTTCATGTTCCTGGATTCTTGTTTGGGCAACGCTGCGTTTGGTGGTCCCTATGTAGACTTGTCCACAGCTGCATGGTATACGGTAGACTCCTGCAGAGGTGAGAGGATCCCTCTTGTCCTTTGCTGAACGTAGCATTTGTTGGATTTTCTTGGTGGGTTTGTAGATTGTTTGTATGTTGTGTTTCCTCATCAGCTTCCCTATGCGGTCAGTGGTTCCCTTGATGTATGGCAGGAACACTTTTCCTCTGGGTGGATCTTCATCTTTACTCTCGTGGCTTGTTCTTGGTCTTGCAGCTCTTCTGATGTCTGAGGTGGAGTATCCATTGGCCTGGAGAGCCCAGTTGAGGTGGTTCAGTTCATCTTGGAGGAGGTGGGGTTCACAGATTTATTTATTTTTTACCAAGGACCACTTGACTCTCTGCTCCTGAGTGTGATGGCGACTCCTTCTTTGGAGGCTTTTAAACAGAGGTTGGATGGCCATCTGTCGGAAGTGTTTTGAATGCAATTTTCCAGCTTCTTGGCAGGGGGTTGGACTGGATGGCCCATGAGGTCTCTTCCAACTCTATGATTCTAATATCCTTATTTTTTATCCCAACTGTTTTCCAATATAGGGACTCAATGACAAACTTGACACAATACAATTAAAACAGAGCAAATGCATTGCAATATGGATATAAAATCTTTAAAAAAACGATTAAAACCTTTGTGTCATGGAATAAAAGCATATTAAAATACATTTAACACTACACCCCACCCCCAAGATTCCATTCACACGATAACAATAACAACAACAACAGCAACAATAATGTTATTTCTTCCCTGCCTCTCTTCGTGGCTTGAGATTGGATACAACATAAGGTGCATCTACACTGTAGATTTAATGCAGTTTGGCATGCATTAACTTCCATGGCGCAATGCTGTTGAATCATGGAAATGACACTGGTGAAATCATGGGAATTGTTGGTACCAGCACTCTTTGGCAGTGAAGGATAAAGGCCTTGTAAAACTACATCTCCCAGGATTCCATAGCTTCGAGCAATGGCGGCTAAAGCAATGCCAAACTGCATTCATTCTACAGTGTTGATGCAGATTCAGTGGTGGGAGGGGAAATGGGAGGGAATCTTTGCCCTACTTTCTAGGCTCAGGCAAAATCAAACTGTTGCAACCTCTCATATCTTCTGTTTACTTCCCCTTTAATAACTTTTGTGATCTTGAACACACTCTGATACATGTTTGGTCACATGTGATATTGAGCTAGAATTTAGTGGCTCCCACCGAGGAGAGAGGAGCCCTCAGACCCACCAATGAGAGTCCAATACTCTGGCGAGCAAATGAAAGAGCCAATAGAATTTTCCCAGATTTTTCCCAAATAAATCTCACCAAAGTTGAAGAAAAGCCACCAAGTTGTATTTATTTCGTCCAGCTGGAACCGATGTCAAACTGTGATAATTCATCAGGAGAGACATACATGCAGTGAATTTCAGAACATTTTAATAGAAAACAGAGCTGCCAAAGTTTAAATTTCCCACCCCTCGCCCCTCAGCCGGCATCTCCCTGATTGGCTGTTGTCATCAGCTGGAGGGGAGGCACTGCTGACGAAGCCGCACCTTAGCCAATCAGAAAGCCAGCACCGCTCCAAGCTTTCGGCTAATGGGAACAGAGAAGGTGGTCCTTGTGAAGAACACTGAAGCAAATGTCCAGATGATTGAATTAAAGTGACTTAATGTGTCCAAATGGCTGGCGATAAATCTGTGAATAGATTCCTCAAGCTGGTCAGGTTTCCTGAAAGGTTGAGATATGCAGATATGGCTGGCACGATCGCCCAGCTCTGGTATTTCCTGGTCACAGATATGAGTTCATTGTGTTGTCTTATGTTTTTCTCAGTCCATAGGGAAATGACAAAAGGGAAGGAAGCTAGGGCATCCTAGCTTCCTTTGAAAGCAGGATGCCTCTTTGTTGGGAGATGACTGGTTTATCAAGGGGGTTCCCCCAAGCGGTCCTGCTCTGAAAAGTGAGGGGGCCAGGTTATTATCATGCAATCAGTCTTTGTTTGAAACCTTGAATCAATAGGGAAATGCATTGGGAAATGGGCTACCCAAGACTGATGTCATTCTGGAGGTCACGAAAAGGTGGCGTCCCATATTTTATATACAGAAATACACACAGGGGTCAGGGAAATACATAAGGAATAATAAAGCATAAGGGAATCTCATATTGACCCATCCCACCCACAAGAGTCCAAAAGAATAAGCATGAAATCATATCATCCCTTAATCATGAGAAGGGGGTCCGTAGGGCTTGCAGAAAAGTTCCATAAAGTTTTCGAAAGTCCTGGAAAGTTTGGAAAAGTTGTCCAAAGTTATAAAATTCAGAAAAAGGCAAGCGGGGAAAGGTGTCCCAATATCCACAGGGTCCCTATGAACCGGCTGTTGACGTTGAAGATCGAGATCTGCCAGGAGAACTACAGATCCCTCCATGTCAAGGACCCAGGCGACCAGGCGACATCTTATGTTCCCTCTGGGGTGACCGCGACAGTTGCTCAAGATCGGCAGGCTCCCTGGACATCCACAAAATGGTGGCAGTGAGGCAACATCCTTGGAAGAACAGTTGGGCTCCAGGTTGAAGTTTTAGGAACAAAAAAGGTTATTTCCGGGGCAGAAAGGGTAGCAGAGCGAAACCTAGATAGCCATTAGTCTTAGAATTCTCCCAGGAGAAGATTGGCACCATTTTCGAAGCGATTTGTTGACTCGCAGATATGGGGGCCCGAGGGGTTTCCGTATCTGTGGTTCAAGGGAACGCAGTTTTGGCCTCCCCAGGATGCGAGAATCGCATTCCAGGAGGGCCGGCAGCCATCTGCAGCCCGGGAGAAGAAAGGTTTATTAAAAAAGAAGTTTGAGGCAGTAAAAGGTCTCTTCCAACTCTTTGATTCTATGATTCTAAGTAACACTATGGAGAGGGAAAGGTTACAATTAATTAATACTTTTTATTGGAGGGATTAGTTACAATGTTAGGAAGGGGACAAAGGAAAGAAATGAGAAGGCTTCTGAGTTGCAGCTGCTGCTGTGGCCACGTTCATGCGGTTGACCCAAATGGGACATTGGAGAACTGAGGAACTCCCTGCTGCAGGTCAGATCAGCTTGAAGGCAGGGAGTTCTGCATGCGGCCTCACATGTATCCCTGCTTTTAATTGTGACACGTTGGAGGAAATGGGATTCTCACCTTTTGCTAAATGATAATGTGTACTGGCTCACAATGTTGTTTTGCAACCTTTTTAGCTCATATAGGAAAAGCAATCCTGTTCTGCAAAGTCCTGTCCCGAGAGCATCCTCACCTTGCTATCAGGTTTCATCTTTTCTGAACTCAGCCAATTCAACAGAGAAGAGGAAGTACTTTATTGCAATGTCACCCAGGATTATTTACTCCAAATCCACAGCTACTTAATACAAGTGTTTTAAACAAATGCAAATAAATATTATGTCAGAGGAGGCCGTGAGGCTAGCATTGCATTCCACCTTATAAATAAGTCCCAATGAGCTTTAGAATAAATAGGCACACTTTGAGTAAATATGGCCGCTTGACTGTAATCCTATGCAGGCCGACCTGGGAGCAAGTCTCACTGAACTAAGTGGGAATACTTCCTTCCAAAGAATCATTTTCATGATTGTTCAGCGTGCTCAAAATCTAAACTGTTTCTTTGGCAGTGATGGTCATTTAAATAAGCAGGGAGCTGCCTCTGAGTAAACTTGGTTAGGCTCCAACTGCAAAACTTCCAGGAGATAATCTGATGTCATGGAAGTGACTGAAAAAACAATCCTTTTGAATTGTACAGAATGATGGGTAAACAAACCATTGTGATCTCTCTGGGTGCCAAGTCTGATTCATCCAAGGAGAGGGCTCTGTGCTGCCAACTCCCATTGGCAATGATGGTTGGGACCCAGCTGAAGACATAGGGTGCATCTACACTGTAGAATAAATACTGTTTGATACCACTTTAAATGACATTGCTCAATGCTATGGAATCAGAGGAGTTATAGTTTGGTAAGGAGCTAGCACTCTTTGGTGAGAGGACTGAAGACCTTGTAAAACTACAACTCCCACACACTTCCACTCTTTCCAAATGCCTCCCTACAAGACTGTCCCTA